GTTGTGCATCAAATCGTTAACTGTCCTTTTTGATGATAAATGTGACACCATTACTCTGCTGTTTGTCGATCCTGACACAGTAGACTATTTGATTGTCTAGTGTCTAGTTAAAATGATCAATACCAGGCCAATTCAGCTCACTAATGCCTGTTACTGTTACATACTGTTGAGTCAGAACTGGCTCATAGCTGACCCTCCAGCGGTATTTTAGAGGTTGTAACTCACATGGGTGGCGATTGACTGACCTCATGTCAAGCATCTAATGGACTTGAGCCACTTGCCCCTGATAAGTGCAATTCGTAAGCCACTGGGCCACCAGAGGTCCTTTTCACTAAGGGCGAGGCCATTGATAGTTACGTATTTTTTCTCATTACTTGTTATTTTCCTAGATTCATGTTAACACTTTCCACATATCAATTATTATGGACTCTGTGGTTGATTCTTCTCAGTTCGAGCCTTGCTACACCAGCAAACGAAAATCCTCCATCAGCTGAAAGCTTAGCTCCATCCACATCATGAAGGCCACTCTACTCTGAGGAGGCAGCTGCATTTAAGCACCTCCACCAAGAGGGGTTCTTCTCAGCACCCTACCAATGACCTGCTGCTGTTGAAAGAGATCTCACTGGCCAATTTTAAAAGAAGTAGGTTGCTAGGCCCTTCTTTCTACTCTGTCTTAGTCTGAAACTCTGCCGAAACCTGTCCACTGTGGCGCCAGTGGTGAGGGCTTCCTTCATGGCAGCAACACACAAGCCACCACAATGCAACAAACTGGTAGATGAATTCATTTTTTATTAATTTAATTATTAATAATCTCTGAATTTTTCTAAAGAAAAGTAGAAAAAGAATCTTAAAGCACACCATCTAGAATATACAGCATGAAAACACAGCACACCCATGACGAAAACACAACATCAAAACACAGCACACTCGTGTAAAACACATCATCAAAACACAGCACATGTAAAACACAGCACACCCATGATGAAAACACAGCATCAAAACACAGCACACTCATGTGTAAAACACAGCATCAAAACACAGCACACTCATGTGTAAAACACAGCACACCCACAATGGAAACACAGCATCAAAACTTATGAGTAAATCTGATATGAAAGACTTCTTTGCTGAAAATGGGAAATGTTTTAGTTCCAGTTAATGATAATATTTTAATTCTCCTTAACTTGATATACAGATGGAGTGTCACCCAAGGAAATACTGGATGTTTAAAATCAGAAAGGGTGTGCATAATGGCTGTATCTTTCTCTGTAACTATTCAGTCTGTGTGCTGAGCAAATATTTAATGAAGCTGGCTTCTATGAAGAAGAATGTGATAGCAGGATCAGAGAAAGACTCGTCAACAACCTGCATTATGCAGATGGCACAACTGTGCTTGCTGAAAGTGAAGAGGGCATGAAATACTTGCGGCAGAAGATCAAAGACTACAGCCTTCAGTATGGATTACTTTTCAACATCAAGAAAACAAAGGTCCTCACCACAGGCCAACAGACAACATCATGAAAGATGGAGAAAAGATTGAAACTTCCTTGGATCAACAATCAACACCATTGGTACTAGCAGTCAGAAAATCAGGAGATGGATTGCAGTGGGTTAGTCCACTGTCAGAGACCTCTCCAAAGTCCTAGGATCAATCATGTCAGTTTGAGTTGAGCACCTGATTCAGAACATCGTCTTCTGCTCTGCACCAGGGAGCTGGACAATGAATAAGGAAGACAGAAGAATTAGTATCTTCGAGTTGTGCTGCTGGAGAAGATCACTGGACATCAAGGACTGCCAAAAGAACACATAAATATATCTGGGGAAACGTGCAGCCAGAGCCCTCCTTGGAGGCAAAGACGGCAAACCTTCATCTCTCATACTTCGGACATGTAGCTGGTAGAAACGGTCTTGGAAAGGGACATCATGTTTGGAAAGATGGCAGGTCAGAGAAGCAGAGGAAGACCCCCAGTGAGATAGGTTGGCATGGTGACTTCCGCATGGCTCTAATGTGTCAGATGATGAGGATGGCCCAGGACAGGGCAGAGTTCAGGTTGGCTGTTCGTAGGGTTGCTATGAGTTGTACTTGATTTGATGGCACCTAACAAAAACAACAGTTCTGAAGAAAGTCAAGGTGACTCTAAAGTATATTTGCAAATTGGAAAGTTCTTTAATAAAGATCAATAATACTATTTTGAAAAGAGAGAACAAAATTGGAAGACTTGCATGAGTTGCTTTCAAGAGATCTTATAAAAGCCATAGTCCTTAAGACAGCACGATGCTGTCATGACACCATAAACACAACACTAAAGCAGCTCAATGAGGCCAGAAACAGACCTGCACACGGAACCAATGGCTGTTATAAGGTTGCCAAGGCAGCTCAACGAGGAAAAGAAAGTGTAAACATGGGAACGACCAATAATATGGATAAAAAATTAACCTTGATCTGTTTTTCGTTCCATACACAGAATATGATACATTGATGATCTAAGCATAAAAGCTGACACTAAATTTCTAGAAGAAACAGAGAAGCTAATTTCATAATCTTGCAGCAGACAAGAAGAAATCAGTATAAATGAACGACCACAAATCAACAATAACAAAAAGATGGAAGCACAAATAATTTGGGAAAAACTCTTAACTGGTATAATAAGCACATGAAAAGGTACCCAATACTGTCATTAGAGAAATGCAAACTAAAGCCAAGCTAGGCACAGCCAGAAAAAGGGCAGCAGCGAATGCTGAAGAGGATGTGAAGTAGCTGACACTCTTACACTGTTGGTGGAGAGCTAAAATATTCTAACCACTTTAGAGAACCGTGCGGCAGGGTCTCAGAAAGCCAAGTCTATATATATAAAGTCTATATAAAGTCTCTCTCTCTCTCTCTCTCTCTATATATATATATATCCCACAGCACTACTCATGGTAGCCCACATTTGAAGGAACTCAGACTGAATAAATAAATTGTGATATATCTACTCAAGGAGATACCACTTAGTGATAGAAATGAACCAGACATCATCCACACGATAATATGCATGAATCTCAAAAATGTTCAGTGAGCACAGCAGACACACTAGAGAATGCAGGGTGTGACTCTAGTGGTATGAAGTGACTGATCTCAGATGGTGGAGGGAAGAAATATTAATTGGATGGGAGCACAAGGGAACTTCCATACTGGTGATTTCTAGAATCTTCTCCCAAATCAGATGTACACCTGAACCCTGATCTCAGCACCTCAACTCAACTCATTGCCATCAAGTCAGAATCGACTCACAATGGACTCTCCATTGGGTTTCAGGAAGCTCTGCTGGTGACCCAAAGTTACATGGTTCAAATCCACCAGTTGCTCCATGGGAGAAAGATGGGCAATCTCCTGTGAGGTTAACTTCCTCTGAAAACCTGGAGGGTCCGCTATGAGTCAGTTCTGACTTGACGGTACACAAGCCCAGGAGCTGGGAGATCGTCCATCCCTCCCACGGAGCAGCTGGTGGATTCAAACCCCCAGTGAGATGCGTCCTCTGGCTTTAGTAAGGTGACTCCCTGTGGCCACTGGAGCTTCTGCTCCTGGGCAAACCCAACCAAAGCAGGGCTGCTTTTACAGGACAAAGACCAAAGCCACAAAGCTGACCTGTGTGCACTGACTTCCCTGGCGCTCAGCTCATCCTGAGAACCACTTTCACTGCTGTCCATGCTCTAGGTCCATTGCCTGCTCCCAGGTCCTGCACTGACCACAGGTAAGATGTGGCAATGTCTGCATCCATCCAATTATGCCCATTTCTGCCAGAAGTTGTGAGCTTCACCAAGGGGATGACGGCCTCTCATCTGCACGTGCCAATAGACTGCTCAGCCAGTGTCAGGTGAATGCTGGAGGGACGGGGCCAACCTTGGCAAGAAGGGAGGCCCTGTTTGGCCTTCTTCCTGAGCAATGTAGACATTCTCCAGGTATCTTGGTCATAAGGAATCAGCACCTACTTCCACCTGGTCTGAGACTGCCCAGGACAGCTAGGCTGAGCAGACCTCCATCCCATTGTCACAAAACATCAAGCCGGGTAACAGTTCCAGGGCCAAGGCTGCTGAGCAGAGGGGAGGCTGGGTGTAGAGGAGTCCTTCCCCCAACCCAGTGGCAGTTCTGAGGGTGAGCAGTACAAGGCTGGGGTCCTCATAGGCCTCCGGAGCCTGTATTTTCCCCTCTGTGTGCATATAAATTTGTGACTCTGGACAGGTGGGTACTCTGGTCCACGTGGATGTCCTGGACGACTTGAATACCTTTGTCCATGTGGAAGTCCTGGTCTACACGGATGCCCTGGCCCACGTGGATACCCTGTCCATGTGGAAGTCCTGGTCTACATGGATGCCCCAGACCCCAGGGCTGCCCTGGACCAATTGCATACCCTAGTCCATGTGGTCCCTTGCCACTGGGAGATGTCCTGGCCCATGTGGTGCCAGCATGTGTGAGTGTCTTCGTGTGTCTTCATGCAGCATCACAGATCTGCCCCATGGGCTGAGGAGTCCATCTGGACTTGGTGTGTGCAGATGTGTGCCGACACCTGGACCAGGCTTCTATGCACATCCTTGTCTCCCAGCCCTGGGGAGACTCAATATGAGCTCAGGCCCCTTAGCTCCAGGACAAGGTGTCCTCCAAAGGTTAACATAACTCTCCTGTGGGTCTGGCATCCCCCAAGGTGGTTGTAAGGGCTCCCTGAGACCTCACTGAAACCCATTCTACTATGAAGAGCAGAGACACAGGCACATGGCTCTTTATTGAATGTTCCCAGGAAAGCCAGCACCATGAAGCCATGGGACAGTTGGGAGATATTGGTGAAACTGAGCCAAACGACTTATTTCCAGGGTCCCCTTCAGGGGCAGCTGCCTAATCGTGTCCCTCTCCATATGACAAGGCTGTGTCAGCAGCTCTGTGGCCTGGCCCCAGGGTCTTAAAAAGCTTGTTTGTCCTGTCACCCCCTGGAGTCCCTTCTGGAGGGGTAGGGACAAGTGGGCAGTCACAGCTTGTTCCGGGGACAGCGCTGTAGGGCATCCTTCAGCGCCTCAATCACGCGGTCCACGTTCTCCCGGGTGGCATTGCAGCCGAGCAGACCAATGCGCAGTACCTGGAGATGCAGACACAGGTGGGGCGCACACGTCACTCCCCTCCTGTCCTCCCCACCCATGAGGACCACAGAAATCCAGGGCAGGGCTCAGTGGACCCTGCAGCTGCACCCTGTACAGGTGATGGAATAAGGCCAGGACTGGCTGAAGGTATGAACCTGGTCTGAGCCATGGACAGGGGACAGCATTAAGTCTCCACTCTGAGTAGAATCAGAGGCCACTGAGCCAGGTTCTAGTGGCCCCATGTGACCTCACTACAGGGGGAAGGAGAAGACACCATCTAAGTCCTCTTAGCAAAGGACACAGGTTCGAATGAGGACCCTCCTCCTCATTGCCCAGTCATCCTAGGCCTTCTTGCTGGGCATCTGCTGACTGGGGATGGTCAGCTGGATACAGATGTGCTGTCCACACAGGTTGGACTGGCCCTGCCTCTTAGTGCCAAGTGGCCCTGTGGCCAAAGCCATCCCTTCTTACCTTCCCCACTGAGGGCCCGAGGCCACCTGTGATCTCGATGCCGTGGTGGTCTATGATGTGGTTGACAATGTCCCTCCAGTCATAGCCGGCAGGCACGGCCACTGTGGTAACTGTGGGCAGCCGGAGTGCCTGCCAGATGAGGAGGCTCAGCCAGGCTGCCCACACCCTCACTTGTGCCAGGCTGCCTGCCCAACCCCTAGTCCTGTTCTGCCCTGGGGGCAGCACAGAGGGCTCACAAAGGCAGGTGTCATTACCCCCCACCTGACACCACCACCCCAGCTCTGCCGGCCAGAGCAGCTGGGGGTGTCCCACCTGCCTGGCACAGGATCACCTCCTGCTTGATGCCACCTCAGCTCTTCCAGGCAGGGTGTCTGGGCCTGGGACAGTTCTAGCCTGGAGAGCCTCCTCTCACCCGCCCTGGCTCCAGCGTGGCTCCAGCATGACCTCTGTATCACCTGGAGTTTTCCACTCTCTGCCCTCCTGGTTCCACCTGGAACCCCCATCTACACCATGGGCCAGGCCTAGGGGCTCAGGAGAGCCACCCTGTGGTCTCTTAACCAGCCCAGCATCCAGCGACCCTGGCTAGTGGACCCCGCCAGATGGGACCCATACCAGCCTGTGCACCTGGCCGGTCCTGCCAGCCTCCCCACTGTCGTTCCCCTCTGCTGCCCCGCCCCCAAGCCCCTGCCCTCACCTCATTCCCCTCTGCAGACCCGCCCCCAGGCACCTGTCCTCACCTCATTCCCCTCTGCAGACCCGCCCCCAGGCACCTGTCCTCACCTCATTCCCCTCTGCTGCCCCGCCCCAGGCCCCTGCCCTCACCGGATCCTTGATGAAGAGCTGAAGGCCCAGACCCTGCAGGCGTCCCTGCAGGTAGGCCGTGGCCTCGCGATGCCTGCGCCAGCTGTTCTCCAGTCCCTGCCGGGAGGGGCAAGTGGACCATGGCATGGGGGACAGGGAGCCCCGGCCCATAGGTGTCCTTGGGGACAACCCCAGGCTTGGTGGGCTTCTCTGGCCTGGACAGGAGATCCTTAGAGCCCCTAACCCCCAGATCCAGTTCAGATCTGCTGGCCAGCTGAAGGGCCCCTGGGGACGATCAGATGGGTTCCCCATGGGAGGTGGGACTGGTTAGGCGTGCCTCAGGGTTCAGGCTGGGTCAGAACCAGGGAAAGGGCTCAGATTCTTCCCTGGTCTCCGGCCAGAGGGCAGGGCTGGAGGTGGAGGAGGGGAGACAGGCGGGTGGGGCTGAGAGGAGTCCTTGAGACACCTCGGCTCTCAGGTGGACACTGCCATGCCCACTCTGGCCTCAGGCAGGGAAGGCAGGGCCAGCAAGTCCCAACATCCAGGGTCCCCAACCCCCAGGGCCTTGACCTCCGGAAGCCCTGTCCTACACCACTGCACTGGCTTCCATGCTCGCTGCTCTCAGGTCTTGGACTCATCTGTGGACCCCAGCGCCCTGACCTTAGTCAGCAGGGTGACAGGGAGCCGGCCAGGGGAAGGGACAGAACTCCAAGGAGCGGGAAGGAGTCAAAGCAAAGGGAACCCAGAGCAGGGGGCGGACCAGGGGGACGGGCAAAGTGGCGGAACGAGGGGCTGGGGTAGGGATTGTGGGATTAGAGCCAGGGTAGAGGCTGGAATGGGAGCTCAGAACAGGTGTAAAATGGGGTCCAAACAAAGAGAAGAAAGAACTTTTAATAGGGGCCTGGAAGCCCCTGGGCAGGCTGAGGAGAGGCTGGGCGTGGACAGGGTGGAGGGCAGGACTAGGGGCTGGGGCTGGGGCAGGGCCTGGATGGAGCACGGGCAGGGCTGGGCGAGGCCTGGCTGAGTGGGAACAAGGCCTGTATGAGATGGGCGGGGTTTGCGTTTGTGTGATGTGGGCAGGGCCTAAGTGAAGTGGGCAGTGCCTGAATGTTGTGGGTGAGCCTGGGTGAGGTGGGCAGGGGGGGCCTAGATGAGGTGGAGAGGTGGGGGGGGGCCTGAGTGTTGTGAGTGAACCTGAGTGAGGTGGGAGGAGCCTAGGTGAGGTGGGCGAGCCTGGGTGAGATGGGCAGGGCTTGAGTGCAGTGGGCAGTGCCTGAGTGTTGTGGGGGAGCCTGGGTGAGGTCGGAGAGTCTAGGTGAAGCGGGAGGGGCCTAAGTACTGTGGGCGGGGCCTGGGTGGGCGTGGGCAGTGAGGATGGAGCTTAGAGACCCCCAATGCACAGTCCCTATTTCCACATGCCCTGTTTCTCCCCACTTCTGCCCATCTTGAGCCCTCAGTGGACACTGCCCCCTCACCTGCTCTGCAAGGATGGCCAGGCCTTCCCGCAGGCTGTACAAGCCGATGACAGGGGTGGTGTGATGGTACCTGGAATACAGCAGGGGCCATTCCAGTGTCAAGCCTTGCCCCTTAACCTAGCTCCTGAAGATGGTCAGCTGCACCTTCCTGGTGTCTGGCAGACATGGACTTCCAATGGACTCCACTTCTTCTTGTGAAGTGGGTAAACTGAGGCCCAGGATGAGGGAGTAGGTGGGGTCCCATGGGAGATGCTTTTGGAGGTCTCCAGGAAGACAAGGGCCACCTTTCCTGCCTGGGCCTGCAGGCCAGCTGAGGGATTGTGGCTCCTGGAGACCTGATGGCCTCTCCCTGGTGAGTACCAGGGCCAAGATGGTGTGGGGACTTGAGGGTGGATGCTGGTGAGAGGCTGGCCTGCCTCCTGACCTGGCCTTTACCTCCACACCCTCAACCTCCATAGCTGCCTGTGTCTGACCTCATCTCTATCACTGTGCCACCAGCCCCCGCAGTTAACCTGTGTGCCCAGCCCTCACTTCCCCCTCAGTCCCCTGTCAGCCTTGCCCTGTCCCTCTTGCTTCACTCTGCCTTCCACGTCTTCCAACCCTCTGTGTCATGTGACCACCCTAGCCCACCCTTCCCCTTCTCACCCTCATGTGGTTTGGACTTTCTTACCCACCTGGTCCTCACCTCACCCAAGCCTGTTCACTTTCATATCTTGGGACTCTCATCCCATCCCCAACCTCAGCAATCCCCCATCCCTCATGTCTTGGGGACCCTCACCCCATCCCTGACCCCAGTACCCCTGGCTCTCACATCCTGGGCTCATCCTCGCAGCCCCAGAAGTTGGCCAGGCACTTCACATCCAGGCAGAAGGAATAGGGCTTGGTCTTCCGTGAATAGATTTTCTCTCTGGAAGGGGTCACAAGGAGCACTGTCTGGGCTGGAAGGGGTCAACAGGGCCATCTTGTTCCCCAATGCTTCAAAGAGGGGAGCCCAGAGGGTGGGGCTTCACAGACCACTTGTGCCCAGCCCCTAGGCTGGACACACAGCAGTCATCTAGGAGCAGTCAGCCCTGCATACTCTGGGTCTTTGGGGCTCAGGACCCTCCCATGGTGACCTTCTCTAGTCTTCTGGTCACTCCTGAGTCTGAGATAGAAGAAATCCTCATATCTAACTGTCTTAATAAGGGGGACAGCTTGGGTCTGGGGTTGAATCCCCTTTTTTAGAGAGGGCTGCGTGCTTGGAGTGCAAGCTCTGAGCCTGAAGTATAACTGGGGTCCAGCCTCGGTACTGCACATCCTTTTGTGGGTATGGCAGCCTCATACCATCCAGGCTCCCCTGCTTGTGATGCCATAACCTGGAGGCCTGGACAAACCCAGACCTCTGTTCCATTCCACCCACTCACCCTAGCACCCTCTAATGCCTACAGTCCAGCAGCAACTCAGAAGTCCCTCATTCAGCATAGATGTCAGATTCTCTTGGAACCCTGTCGTCTGCTCAGTGGCAAGGCCAAGAAGTGAGGCAGCTGAGTGCTGACCACCTGCTGAGTCCTCTGTTTTCTCCCCAGTGGGGCTCGGGGACTGCAGGTGACATTGTCCGAGTGGGGCTCAGCTGTGAGGCCACATGGGGCAGGACTCAGCTCCCCATCCTGCTGGTCACTCTTTGATGCAAAACTGGGAGCTTCCAAAATGACCAGCCCTGTCCACCTTCACATCTTGGGAGATGTCTGCTCCCACACAGTTCCAAGTCCCCAAAAGAGTCTCCCCAGCCTCCTAGCCCATCTGGTCTCGCTGTGTTCAGCCCCTTATCCCTGCTGAACCTGCACTTCTCAGCAGCCCTCCTAGTGCAGGGTTCCTGGAAGATGGCCAAGTGTGGTCATGGGAACAGGGCTCCAGAGCCCCTCCGACACCAACTCTGGGTCTGCAGTCACCCACCGGGCCTTGTTGCTGAAGGAGATGAGCGAGGTCCCCGGGGGGGCGTTCAGAACCTTCTGGGCACCCGAGTACAGGATGTCAATCTCTGTGGAGAGGATGCTGTGTGGGGGCTGGGGATTGAGTGGGACCGGGGGACCGGGGATGGTTCCCTTCTTGCAGGGCAACCTGAGCCCCGAGCCCCCTGCCAAGTCCCCCCTCCATCAGGGGGTGCAGCCTGACCCCCAGCACCACTTCTGTCATTAGGATCAGGAGGGTGAGGTCAGCCCAGGGACCCCTCGCTGCTGAGGAGCGAGCTACTGCGAGTGTGGGCTGTGGGCTGGCACTTGGAGGGTGCACCGTGCTGGGAATGGAGGCTACCTGAGTGTGGGCAGCAAGAGGGCCCAGTGTTTGGAAGAAAGGCCTTGTCACTTCCTGTGAGTCACATAGTCCAGTGACAGATTGTCCAGAGGGACACTGCAGGATTGGGCAGGGCTGGGTCCTGTGGGTCGAGGGGACTGTGGGACAGGGTGTGACTCGGTGTTAGGGATAGTACAGGACCAGGCAGTGCTGTGTCCTGTGGGTCGAGGGGATCATGGGACAGGGTGTGACACAGTGTTGGGGGATGGTGCAGTGCCGGGCAGTGTTGGGGCTTGGGGTCCGTGGGGCCTGGGGACCACAGGCCGGGGTCTTACTCTGCAAGTTAGCATGAGTATGGTTCTGGAACGTGGGAGATGCCTCATCAACGTTTATTAAACAAGTGAACTACAGAAAAGCAGGCCTGGCAGGGCTCCATGCAGCCTCTGCAGCACCGCCAGGAACACGGGCTCTGTGTGGTCAGGGCCTCGCAGCGTCTGCTTAGGGATGGTGCCCACCACTGCCCAGATGCCATCTCAGGCCTGGCCCTCGCCTGGATCTGACTGCCAGTTCCTGGGGATCAGAGCCCTAGTGCTTGGGATTGAGGGCTCCCACGCTGCCAGAGGAGAGCTTGCCAGGGCCTCCTGTCTGCCAGGTGAGCAGCTGTGGGCACCCTACCTTGCTGGTCCATGTAGATGGGGGTCCCGCCCAGTGAGGCCACAGAGTCCACAAGGAGCAGACACTTGTACCTGGTAGGAGTGGGGTAGGGCACCATGAGGCATAGGACTGGTCCAGGACCTGCCTGTGCGGGGCCTGCAGGCAGGCACCCTCAGGTGAAGAAGATGAACACCTCCATCTCCCCATCCAGGGTCCCTCCCCAGAGCTGACTCTTTCCCTGCGTGGGGTCATTCCAGTGAGCCTGGGCTAGCCAGGCCTGAGCAGTGCTTTGTCTGGTGTCAAGGCCCCGATGGCCTCCACAGAGACCTGCACACTTGGTCAGGGCCAGCCTGTGGCTGAGGCTGGGCAGTCCTGGGTTCCAGGGCTTTTTTGAGGCTCTGGGCGTCCAGGCCCTCAGGCTCTGTGGAGGTGGGGGTGGGCCTGTGAGATACACTGCAGGCCCAGCTCAGGCTGAAAGTCCAGGGCAGAGTCCAGTGGCGGTCAACTTGGCTGGTCACCTCCCCTCCTGCCCTTGTCCGGCGGCTGTCCGTGACAAGATTTGAAGCGCCCACGCTGTCTGAGGTGCGTCTGTCCCACGGCAGAGTAGCCCAGGCTACACTTGTGAGCACACACGCTCAGCAGCCTCCAGGGATGGGACCCGTAGGGGCCACGCTGACCCTGCCGGTGTCCTCCCTGAGCATGACACCCCAGGACAAGACTGCTCAGTCCTGTTGAAGGCCCTGCCCTGGGCCCCATGTGAGCAGTGGGCTGCAGAGGCCGCTTCATAGGCTTGGCTAAGGCAGGGCAGGACCAGAGGACCCAGCACCCAGACTGCAGTGCGGCCTTGGTCCCAGCCCCTGAGTCCCGCTCAGATTGGTCAGTAGGAGGGTCCCAGGGGTGGCTGCTTTATCACTGGACAGAGACCTGGGCCCCGCTCTGTCCAGCACCCCCTCCAGGCCACACAGAGGCCTGGGCCTGGCTCTGGCCAGCACCCCCTCTTGGTCCCATGTGCAGCTCTGCTCTGGTAGGGTCCCCTCCGGGTCTACACAACACAGCCCCAGCTCTGGCCAGCACCCCTCCAGGTCCTGCATGGTGCCCTGACTGCTCACCGGTGGCACAGCTGCCCGTAGCCATCAAGGGGCTGCAGCACGCCGCTGGACGATTCCCCATGGGTCAGGAACAGTAGCTTTGGTTTGTGCTGGGCCAGAGCCTGTGGGCAGGGGAAGCTGTGGCCAAGCCTCTCAGGGGCGGTCCAGGGCCAGTCAGCCTCCTCCAGGGACCTCCCACATAGGGAATGTCCAGGACCACCCACACCCATGCCAGGAAGAGGTGGACCCAGGCTCTAGTGGTCCCGCACATCTCAACCCTGCCCTCTGAATGTGCTGGCGCGGGGGCTGCTCTGCTTGGGCCGGGGGTTTTGTCCAGCGCCCTCAGCCCCTGCCGTCTAGGCAGATGGGTTTTCTCACAGTGCCACTGGCTCTGGCTGGGGAGTCCCACTGCCCTGCCCCACACAGCCTCCTGCCTCCAACCCCCTTCCTGTTCTTGACCTGTGACCAGGTTTCTCTGTTGGACAAGGCCAACTCTACGTGGCAGCCCTGGTCCTGAGGAGCCCTCCTGGACCCTCGGTCAGGTGATGGTGCAGGGAAGCCCCAAGCACCTGAGCCCCCCCCCCCCACCGCCTGGGACAGCGAGCCCCACACCGCATACCTCCTCCACCTCCTGTAGAGTGTAATGACCTCCAGGGTCCTTGATCATGGGGTGCACACGGGCTCCTGGGGGCAGGACAGAGGGGTGGTCAGTGACAGCTGTCACCACTGGGGTTGGGAGAGCAGGACTGTATCCCAGATCCAGGCAGTGAGAGGAAAGAGAACAGGGACTCCAAGTGTGTCCCCATGAGGGACCTTTCTGGGGTAGGGGCATCTATCATGGTCCTGACCTCAGAAGCTGTAGGGTGCAACCAGTGCCAAGACCAAGTACCATGGGTCACATTGCAGGAGCTGGTGCTCCACTGTGTGGCCAGCGTAACCCACAGAGGGCGCCCTGGAATAGGGACCGCATCTGCCTGACCCATCGCCGGGCCACCTGGCGCTCCCCACCCCCCCTGTGAACACACACCGGTGACTGATGACCAACTGAGGGCGTGAGCAGGCTTGGTCTGTCCGTGGGTTGGGGGCTCCAGAGAGGCAAGTCCTTGGACCGGGGCAGAGCCAACCTCCAGAGGAGAAGCGGGTGTGGACCACCCAGCCCCAGGGAAGGATGGAGGCTGGTGGACAGCGGCTTGCCAGACCACACTGTGCCCTGAGCCAGAGCTGCCCGCCTCCGAGCCTGGCCCTGCTCCCTGGCTCTGTGTCTGGGAACATCCACTGGAGAGGCTGGTGTGGAACTCCGCAGACGCTGCATCAGGCTCAGGCCGTGGCATCTCCCTCAGAAGGACGTGGCTCTGGGTGTGGATGCCAGCCTGTCCCTGGGTTCCGCCCTGGCACGATGAGGACCAGTCACAGACTGCAGGGCTGAGGGCTCAGGTAGCTGCTGGGCTGTTGGGGCTCATGCTGAGTCCAGGGGTACCCCGCAGAGAGCACACTGGACCTATGCTCTGGCTGGTCAGGGGCACCAACGCCGTGCAGGAGGCGAGGCGCGAGGCCCCACAGCCAGCAAACACCCACCCGCAGAGGCAGGATGCACCTTACCGATGCGCTCCCCAATGTCCACGGCCCGCAGCCCCCAAAGGCCGTTGGCGCCCACCAGGAAGGAGTCCCCCGGCTCCAGCACATTGACCAGGGCGGCCTCCATGGCGCTGTGCCCGGAGCCGCTGATGACCAGGGTGAGCGGGTTCTTGGTCTGGAACACATACTGGACGCCCTTCTTGATCTCATCCATGATCTGGGGGGACACAGCATCAGCTAGTCCAGCAGGCCCCCGTGTGGTGCCCACACCCGCCGCCCTGGCCTACCTGGTACATCTCCTTGTGCATGTGACCGAGCATCTGCAGGCTCCCAGCGGCCAGTACCCTCGGGGCCAGATTAGAAGGGCCAGGTCCGAGCAGAAGCCGCTTGGGGATGGAGAGCGGCTTCAGGAGCACCTCCGGGGGCGGCACCAGGAGCTGCTGGGAGGCCATGGTCCGTCCCCGCCCTGCCGCTCGGGACACCAAGGCCGCACTGACTGAGGCCAGTGCCCGGAGCATTTCCCAGCCACGCTGCTGCTGCTGCTGCGCACGCGGCCCTGAGGTGCTGCCCTTCAGAGGTGGCTGCACCCAAGCCACCGCCCCCGCTTTTTGTTGGTTGTTTCCTGGCCCTTATCAGTGAGGATCCACACAGCCTGGCAGCCGGGGTGTTGAACCCTGGCTGGGGGGCGGCACCTCCAGGTGGGTCAATGGAGCCCACTCCCCTGAGGTTCTGCTGCCCAGGACAGCCCCATCATGCTGAGCTCAGGGGTCTGCAGAACTTCCCTTAAAGGGGCAGAGAGCAAATATTTTAGGCTGGTAGGTCACACCTTCTGTGTTGCAATGACTAGACTGGGGTTAGATAGTGGGAGGGCAGCTATGTAGGGGGTGTTGTGTGTCAGCAAAACTTCACAACTCAGGCCAGTCCCAGAGATGGCTGGGGGGAGGGGTCAGACCAGTCCCAGAGATGGCTTGGGAGGGGGTCAGGCCAGTCCTGGGGCGTTTGCTGGCCTTGGACTAGCTAATGGAGTTAACAGGGAAAACAAATGTGTACTATGTATGTAAACATATATGCACTTCTATGCACAAACTCACATCCACACACATAACGTGAGCATGAAGATTCACATCCCATTCTCTCACATGCACAAGCACATATGTTCACACAAAATACATTCTCACACACATGTATACTCACAGATGAACACATACACTCACACATAATTATGTAAACACACGCACACAGATGCACACTCATGCACACATGTGCACACAGACATATTTGTGCACATAGCACATATGAAACATACATGCACATACATGTGCACATACATACACTCCCATGCATGCACACACACGTGTACTCACACATACACTCCCATGCACACGCACACTCACACATGCATGCAAACACTCCCATGCACACTCACACATACACTTCCATGCATGCACGCTCACATTATGCAAACTGCACACACATGTGAGTGCATCAGCTCACCTTCATCATCACATCACTCTCACATGCACACACATGAACTTACACATTCACGCACACTGGCAGTAACATTCTCACACATACACGCACATTCTCTTGCTCTCTCACACATACACACTCATTCTCACTCACAAGAATTGACACATCCTTCCACACTCGCTACACTTGCATGCTCAAACATCCAGAGTTTGGGCTGCACTAGTTTTGGGGGCGTTCTTGGTGCTCTGTGCAGAACTCAGGTCAGGAGTAATACAAGACCCTCTGCAGAGACAGTGCCCACGTGGAAGGTTACCTGCACTGAGGCAGAGGGTCACCGATGAGCCCAGGGCTGCAGTCTGGTGGAGTTGAAGGAAGGGTCATGTGCTTAGAAGGGGGCGAGTGTCAGGGACTACCAGGAAGGGGAGCAGGGGCAGAGACACCAGTGTGTACTAGGGCAGGTAGTGGGGGAAACGGCAGGGCACACAAGTCCACAGTGGGAGGGAAAGGAGGGCCAGGGGACTGTGACAGAGGCACTTGGCTGTGATGAGGCCACAAGGTCTGCCTCGCTTGGGGCCTGGGGACAGCTGCTCGGCCTGGGTGGGCTCAGAGATGCCCACTGGATCCAAGCCCTGGGCTTCTAAAGTCCTGCTGCAGGACACCCCAGGACAAGTGCTTGCCAGCGCTGGGGCCAACCAGTCAGGGAGGGGCCTGGCCCACCTTGGAAGTTCCTGTCTGGTGAGTGAAGCACAGCCCAGGCCCCTGTACTATGCACCCAGACTCCTGGCCCACAGCCCTGAGGGCCTGGTTCAGGCACTTCAGCATACTGCACTCCCACCTCCAAGTCCTGTACCCTCCTTCCCAGGCATGTCCTCGCCCTGGAAGGCCTAAGAGGACACCTTCTCTGCCTGACATCTGCTTTGCAGTGCTGTTCCCTCTGCCTCAATGCTTGGTCCTGCTCCACCCCACCCCCTCCAGCCATGTCTCCTCCCAGGAGTCCTTCCCCCCCCAGAGAACACCCTGCCTGTCTGCCTTCTCTCAGGACCCCACTTTGTGCTGGGCAGCACCCTAGCATCAGCTTCTGGGAGATGTGAGTGACCCGTCAGGGCTTGGCCAGTGGTCCTGGGGGGCTGGTATCACCAAAGAAAGGCTGGACTCTGTGCTTGTCCCCAGCTTGGCCTGACCCAGAGAGGATCTGTCGAAACTGAGGGTGGCTCCCCAGAGCAGGAGCCGATTGGTAGCACCACATGGGTGACGTCAACCGGCAGCTAGCCACCTCCACCCACAGGTGCTGGAGCTCAGGGCCACCTGGCCAATGCCCAGGTGCTAGCCATGGTGTATCCCCTCAGGGCAGTGTAACTGGGAGCCTGGGCAGATGGTAGTCAGCACCATTTCCCCATCTCATGGGGTCCAGCCCCCTGTGGCTGCACAAGTCCTAAGGTGGGAGCCTGGAGGAGCCTACCAGGCCCAGTGGACCGTCTCTTCCATGTAACCTGGAGCGTTTCTAACAGAAGTGACAAAGTGTTGCACTGTGTGCTCCGTCGGTCCGCTCTCTGCAGAGTTTGTCAATGTGGGAGGGTCCTCTTGCTCCCAGGCTATCGGGCAGGTGAGGCCCTGGTAAGATGCAGGCACCTTGCTCTGGGAGCACCTGTCGTTCTCAGAACGTGCAGATGGGGGGGGGCATACGCATCTGAGGTCACTGTGCAGCCCCAAGAAGGGATCATCTTGAGCCAGGACGGGTAGGAGCAGGGGACCCCGGGGATGTGATCTGCAGCTGTCCTGGGAGGGGAGGGGGCTGCTGGCACCTGCCCAGGTCAGACTCTCAGGGGCAGGGGCCACTTCACTTGGGAAGGAACACCACGTCCCTACATGTTTGTTGTGGCTTGAGAGGCACCAGGAGGCCGAGGTTCACACTACAGCATGCCAACCACCCTGCCCTGCCTGGGAGGACACTCCTTGGCCTTTTTGTGAGGGCCACCCTGAGCCAGCCACAAGGTCTGCATGTGTGCACGCGTGGAGTGGGGGTGGGGGCAGCCGGCCTCCCTGCATGTTGTGCTGTCACCTCAGCTCCAGCTCAGCGACCCCTTGTTCAGTGGCTCGAGCGATGCCTGGCCCTCCCCTCGTGTGACCCCACACTTTCCCAGCATGATGGCCTTCCTGACAACATGCCCAAAGGGTGTGATGAAAAGCTTCACCATCCTTGACTCTAAGGACGAGCTTCTTCCGAAAAGGAACGCGGGTGACATCATGCATTACACACTGAACTGCTAAATGTGAGGTCAGCAGTTCAAGTCCACTGACCGCTCCAAGAGAGGAGGATGGGCAAGCTCTTCCTATAAAGATTTACAGACTTGGAGACCAGATGGAGGGTCTCCACAAGCTTGAACCAGTCCTGGGAAGGGCAACGGGTGGCTGTGAGCTGAAACTGCTCACCTTGGCCCTCTCTTTAATCTAAAGATGGAAGAACAGACAGTGAGACGCAGAGGAGGCCGGGGCGGTGGATGGAGGCCTGAGATGGGGCAAGGGCAGAGGGACTGGCTTTGAGTGACAAACACTTTGTGGTCAGCTCTGGACCTGCTTACCTGTGCTGTGCGCCTGGTCCCCAGGCCTGGGGGGCGAGCGGCTGTCTTTAGGTCCCATGATGCCCACTACTGACACGCTTGTGTGAAGATGGGGCTGGGCAGGGCTGTTCCTGGGGGGACGTGCCTGACCACCCTTTGGAGTCCCCATGGCCAAGGGTGTCCCACCTGTCAGATGTTTCTTCTTCTGGGCCTGGTCCCGTGGGCTGAGGGTGCCCACCATGAGGCTGTCCGTCTTCTCACAGGCCTCTGCTTCACAGGGTCTGCCCGGGCCCCTCATGGAGGGCAGGATGGGGTTTGGGAGTCCAGGCTGGCTGGGAGCCCTGCTGTGGCCACTCACTAGAGCACAGCATCAGGAGCAGGATGCAGGGGATCTGTGGAGGATGCAGGGGTTCTGTGGAAGCTGCGTACTCTCCTCTTGTAGGTCTCTGCTTGGCAGTGAGCTTGGCATGCCTCAGGTCAGCACTGCCCTCTAGTGTCAACATTGGGCTCTGAGCAGAAAGATGGCCTGGGTGCCCCACCCCCAGTACAGGGCCCAGGGAGGAGGAGGGCCCCCTTCCTGGAGGTGATGTGCAGGCAGCTCCCTCCCCAGGAGTCAGGCCAGAGGGTGTGCCATAGACTCTGCATCAGGGAGTGGTGACTGAACCCTGCCTCTTCCGAGCCAGGACAGCCCATACTCATGCTGCCCGTCCTGTCTGAAGTGACCCTGGATCCACACCAGAAGGTGTTTTGTTGACTGGGCCGCTGCCTGGGGGATGGGGGTCCAGGCAGCAGGCACTGCGGGGGCTGGTCACACCCGCTGTCCCTGTGCCAGGACATAGCACCTGGACTTCCAGCCAATTTCGCCTGACTCCACACACTCTCCACACAGCCCTCACACTGCTGCCCGCCCTGCCCGACCTCACCTCTGCCCACCCTGCCCGTTGCCTCTGCCCACCCGACCTCACCTCTGCCCACCTGACCTCACCTCTGCCCACCCAACCTCGCCTCTGCCCACCCCACTCCTCACCTCTGCCCACCTGACCTCCCCTCTGCCCACCTGACCTCCCCTCTGCCCACCTGACCTCACCTCTGCCCATCCAACCTCACCTCTGCCCACCTGACCTCACCTCTGCCCATCCAACCTCACCTCTGCCCACCCGACCTCACCTC